CCTATAAAAGGCCCTTGATAAGCACTCTTGACCCCTAGGTTTCCTGGGCTATTTGGATAGTGCTATGACTTCAACTTTCTTCTTCCTATTTCTGTCATAAATCAAAGCCACCTGACACTTTGTTCCTGATGTTTAAAACTGACAGGTCTCCTTTCTTTCTTTAGCGAGGTCAGAAGAAACGCCTATAGGCTAATCGTGTAAGTATGTTTTTCTTGGGCTGACGCCGGGAGAGAGAGCAGAGTAGATATCTCAAAGGCAAGGAGGGCAAGAGATTGTCATTGGGAAATGAGCCAGCCTGGGTGTAAAAAGAATCACCCTCTTGTTTCCCCTCAGTCAGGGGGACTGGGGTATTTGTCAGAGGTGAACAGTTATGGATTGTACTTGCTATGGAGTGGGGTGGGGGGTGGAGTTTGAGCTGACCCTTCTCCTCTGCTCCACTGACGTTGTATCTTCTGACCACTTACAGATTTATGTGGGCTCAGCAGCCTTTTCTTCCACTCAAGACTGCACCCCAGATTCACAAACCAATCATTCATACCCAGCAAACTAAGAGAGAGCTTTAAACAGCACTTGTTAGAGATTTAGCATTAAATGATGCTCATCTACGGTAAAGAAAAATGGAAATACACACCCTGGGACAATTTGGGATGCTGAGAAAAATTATATGAGGGAAACAACAGATCAAGTTGAGTATTCCAGGATTATTCCTTTCAGGAAAACTTAATACGTCCTTACAGGAATCTTAAAGAGCCCTGGTGGTGCAGTGGTTAAGCACTGGGCTGCTAAGAGAAAGGTCAGCAGTTTGAATCCATCAGCAGCTCCAAGGGAGAAAGATGTGGCAGTCTGCTTCCGTAAAGATTACAGCCTTGGAAATCCTATGGGGGACGTTCTCCTCTGCCCTCTAGGGTCGCTATGAGTCGGAATCAAGTTGATGGCAATGGCTTTGGCTTTGGGGTATGGGGAATTTTAGGCCCTCACTTCTACGGCCCATTGAAAACCCTTCAAATGGTCCCTCTTGCTTTTCAAGATGGAAAAATGGCTGGTGTGAGGCAAAATAATCTTCCCCAAGGCTACACTAAGACAGATGACTGCCTCGTGCCAATGAAGAACAAGCAATAAGCCAACCAATGTATGCTTTCTTTTACTGGGGGAGGGGTGTATTTTAACCCACCCCCATCACTATTATATTTACTAATTTAATGGTTTGCATGCAGAAAATATTTAATGACTAATAACAGGGATGCCATCATTTGAGTGGACCTGATAAACTCATGTCTTTGCCAAGTTATTATTTCAGGCTCTGCTTAACCACAGTTTCTCTGCTCACATTTTTTATGGATCCCAGGAGATGAAGACTACATTACAAATGCTGAAGCTAAATCACTCCCAGAATTACTTTGGGACAATGACCCAGGGCAGTAATTCAAACCCTGGCTGAAATGTGTGCAGTTCTCTCACATGTTCAAAACGAAAGGCCAGCTTATCCTACAGCAGAGTTTTGCAAACGTTCTATTCAACTCACGGTTTAAGACATAAATCCCTAGAAGCTGGAAAACCTGATAGAAAACTCTCTTCCTTATGGCTCAAAACACAAAATAAAGGGTCATTGTTATACAAAGTGGAGATTATAGACTATAGCTTTCTTTTTTTAAAAAAATTAAATCTTAAAGTCCATAACACATACGTCCATGTGCATTTCAGACATTAGCTATCTAGACTCACTTTTTTTTTTCATTATTCACTGCTTCTTGACAAGTTATTATTGATTGCCACTGCCAGCTCCCTACAGCAAGACCTGAAGCCTTCTCAAGGAAAAGAAAACGTCAACAGAGTTCTCAGCAGTTCTCTACTGCAACCGGGTTCACTGTTCAGGCTATTACTCCGTGAGTGTTAAATGGCATTGCCTTTCTCAAAACCACAGCTTTTCTGTGATATGCTGATCCCAAAAAAAAGGTGATTACATGTGCGTGCATGTGTAATTGTGTGATTACATGTTGTTTTCCGTGTCGTGTGTGTGTGTGCGTGTCCGCTCGTGTTGTTGAGGGATAGGAGAATGGAAGCCTGGCCAAGAGCCCACATATTCTGCAGAGACAGGAGGGACACATCAGCTATTGTTGGTTGCCATTGACTCGATTCTGACTCAAGGCGACCCTATGTACTCCTCCCAAATGATTACAAAGCCCATTCTGATCAGCAATGAAGTGTTCATCCACACAGCCCCGGTTGGTGTATAACTGAACTCAGACCTGAGTTCATAGAATGGTGGGTCTTTTCCTTTTGCAGAACCAGCCAGGAACAGGACAGGGACCATAAAAAGAGTCAGCTGTCTGTGTACAACCCCAGACCAAGGATTGTAGCGACCCCAGAGAACAAACAGAGCTTTAGGGTTGACCTGCATGTGTCCTGCTAGATTAGCTCTGATCTCGATTCAGCCCTGTAGTGCTGACTGAGTCTGACCTGCCAGGCTGTGTGTCACTTACTGTGGCAGAGTGACAAGTCCCATGTGGCATTTCCACTGAGCTGACAGCCAGCGCATGCAACCCAGCTCAGTCCACCCTCTCCCCAAGGAGGGGTTATGCACGACACTCTGACCTCAATTTAAAGATAGGACAAATGACACAGCCACAGAGTCTGCCCTGGCTAAATACTGTACATCACACATAGTGACAGCTGCTTCTCCCTGGGACCCAATTTAGTCATCTGGCTACAAGAAAGCGTAATCAAATGAGAAAATAGAAAGGCATCTTTTCTAGTGTTTTCTTCTCTGTGCATATTTCATTATTTCAAAGACTGTTTAGTCTACTTCTCAAAAGAATTAGAAAATACACTTTAATCCCAGATTTGTACTGTACTTCAAAGTAAAAATACGAAATAAAAAGCCAACATGTACGTGTGGGTACATGTGCGTGCACATGAGCAGATGCACGAACTAATTCACAAATCTGATTTCCAAGCCTTCAAAGTTTAAGAAAGAGCTAAGGGTTTGACAAGACCTGAGTTTTAATTCACTCTTTCCAGATAAGCCTAGTTCCCAAATGAAATCAAACAGTCAAGATGCCTAACACATATTTAATTCTAATTTTCTTTCTCTGTATTTAGGCTGACATCTCTCTGGGCCTGCAGGACAGACATACACCTTAGTTTGCTGTGTTAATTTTAGGCATATTTTATTGTAATTCCTGCATGGCAGTCCTTCAGTGATTTATCCGGCCAGGTGCCCTAGTATTTAAGAACTTTTTTTATTCAATGAGGAGAGGAAGGAATGGCATTTTTCCGAGCCTCTCCTATTGATCACATTGTTCCACTGTCCCTCAAGCCCTCTATGGTTCCTGGTCACTTCAAAAGCGAGCCATTAGTTTTCTTCTTCAACACGAATTGTACTCTAAATAATCTCAACCCCCAATAAAATGTGGATGTTCCAAAATAAAGGGTTAGAAAGCAAAGGGGACTATTGTTTTATTCTCGAAATCAGCACAGCCATCCCCAGAGGAACTGTGCCATTTTAACCAGTAACAGCTGTCCAGAAGAATTTACTTAAGTGATGTGAAAATCTGGTTTGGCAACCAAAACAAAGAGGCGAGAACCTGCCTCTTGCCTTGAGGCGGGTAGTTTATTAGGGCTTTAGGTGCTCACACTCATGCCCGCGAGGAATCCCCGCTTCTGTCCAAATTTAAAATGTGGGCTCTGCAGTTCGGAAAGGTGGTAATTCTGCACCTTCCTCGTCTTAGAATTCAGGATGCTCAGGATTTGGAAAGCTGTCTGTATCTAAAACTGATTGGATAAAGCAAACAAACTGTTACTTTTGAAGGGAGTTTCCTTGAAATGTTTGGAATTCTTTTCAATTAAAACTGCGCGTCCTAGTCTTGGTTAACCTCCTTGGTTATGGGATTAATTGTCTGGGCTTCAGGGCACAAATAGTTTGTCCTCAACTACTAATGTCAAGGTTGTCGGTTCAAATCCACCCAGCGGCACCATGGAAGAAAGACCTGGCAATTTGTGTCCGTAAAGACTACAGCCAAAAAAACCCTATGAGGCAGTTCTACTCTGTAACACATGAGGTTGCCATGAATCGGAATCGACTTGAGGGCAACGGGTTTGGCTGGGTTTGTTGTCTGAGGAGTATCTGGTGGAAACTGTTCTCTAGCTCCTCCTCCCAGTTTCTCAGTGCCCTGGTCTTTCACACTCCCCCCCCCCCACCCGCGCTCCCCTCCCTTACTCTCCCTTCTGGGTGTCCTCATCCTCTCTAGCTCCAGAGCTATGGAGTCACAGGTATGTTCCTTCTCTGGGGAGAAATGCTATCATGCAGGTTCTCATCTGCAGGGGGCCCAGGGGTCTGGAGGTTGAGGGAGTGAGTGTTCAGAGCCTCACCAGGGCAGCAAGGGGTGGCAGCTCCCCGAGTCCTCAGAACCAGGCAGAGAAGCATTGAGAATATACGCTGAGTAACTATGTTTCTTTTTCTTAGCTATAGAACCCAAAGGGAGTGAGGGAGGGGTTTCTCACATTCACATCTGAATCTGCAGTAGGATGAGGACTAGAGCGCAGCCTATTCCTGGGGCTGCTCACTAGCTGCCATGCACGTAGCACGCAGGCCAGCCATGCACAAGGTTGAGGACAGGTGCCTGGATGGGGTGAGGGGCCAGGCTGCAAGGCATCTGGGGAGGACGCAGAACTTTGCTGGAACTCCAGTTGGTTGGCCCTGCTGGGAATGTGGCAAGGAGGTTAAAATACATGTTCTCAGATTTACCACCCAGACATACATTTTTGTGATTTCATTGCAATCAAGAAGTTTATGCCAACTTCATACAAACAAAATAAGAATCAAAGCGAGACAGCAACCTGCCTCCAGTGAAGTTTACATGCAGCTTAGGGGACTTACTCTGCGCGTTAACAATACAGGAAGTCCACGCGCCGCCATTCCAATTATACACGACAGGTCTCTCACGCAACATAAAACGCTCTTACCTCTTGCCTAGAACAACTAGTACTGATGTTTAAATATTGGTGAAACATAATGTTTTTAATTTCACACCTCACGGAGCACAGCTGAATGCTTTATAACAACATAAACCAAAGTTTGGCCAAGCACTGCAGACCAATTTGGAGGGGAAGAAAAACAAAAAACCAAAAGCCGGCTTCCCCCACTGTGTCCTCCAGTTTTGCGAGGGGATAGATAACTAACAAATTGGTTGGCTAAGGCCACAGAAATGTGTTTCCCGGTGTTTCGGCTGCTGCTGTGCCAGTCTCTTTTGACGAAGATACGTTAACACTGGATGCAACAAACTGGTACCAATCAGGAAAAGCCGCGTCTTATTTCTTCCTTGATTTCTTTTTGGTAGTGTCATAAGCACGGACTATTTCTTCCTGAGTAACGGCTCCATGCTCTTCTTGAGAAAAGGCGTACCCATCTGAAAAAAAGCACAGGAAGGACTTGGTTATGCGTGCTATCGGGGAACACGCTAGGTTTAGAAGAGCTGCTTTTTTTGAGGACTGCAGCTGAACTGGCCTCATTAGCCTCGAGTAGGTGGAGGTCTGGAGTCCCTTGATGTGGCACATGGTTAACATGCACGGCTGCTAACCAAAAGGTTGGAAGTTCGAGTCCACCCAGAGGTGCATAGGAAGCAAGGTCTGGCAATCTACTTGGGAAAACTCAGCCATTGAAAACCTTACGGAGCACCGTTCTACTCTGACCACAAGGAGTAGCCATGGGTCGGAATCAACTTGATGACAACTGGTTAGAGGAAGGCTTGGGATAAAGAAACCTGGGACCCAGAAGGGGAGAGTGGGCAGTGTGGGTGTGGTGGCAGGATGTAGCTGACTGATGTCTGGAGGGTTCTGGCTGCTGGTGCTGCTACTGCGGTAGGAACAGCCCAGCAGGCAGGTCTCCCTCTATTCCTGTGCGCTGCAGCCCAGCTTTGTGTGAGCAGTGTAAACAGCGGGCCGCTGGTCCGTGGCTCCACTTTCCCGTCACCAATCACGAGGAAAGGCAAGTTGTTCTGCTCCGGAAATGCCACAATCTGCCTGAAACCGAAGGCTGGCGGAGTAATTTATGAAGCTGTAAACATTTCTGGGGAAAACACACGCAAAGTTAGTAGTGAGCGCTGGCAGGGTGGCTGGTGATGCTTGAAGCGTTCCTGTTCTTAAATTGGACTAATTCGAGTTGGGCATAAGTCACTGAAGTGGGTTTACTTCTGTTTAAGCAAAGAGTAAGATCACAAGATAAAGTCAGGAGGAATTTAGTGATCGGCACTGTGGCCACAGGCAGACTGGTTCTTACAACTAGCTAATAAGAAAAAAAATAACCAAACCAGTTGCTGTTGAGTTGATTCCGACTCACAGGTGACCCCACGTGTGTCAGAGTAGAACTGGGCTCATAGGGTTTTCAATGGCTGATTTTTCAAAAGTAGATAGCCAGACCTTTCTCCTGAGGCACCTCTAGGTGGACTTGAACCGCCAACCTTTCAGTTACCAGTTACCAGCCGAGCACATTAACTGTTTGGTCACCTAGGGACAATCAGTTAATAATAAGAAGAATAAAAAAATTCAAAAAAACCATTGCTGATGGGTCAATTCTGACTCACGGTGACCCCATGTGTTACAGAGCAGAACTGCTCCATAGGATTTTCTTGGCTATAATCTTTACAGAAGTAGATTGCCAGGCCTTTTTTCCACTGTGCTGCTGAATGAATTTGAACCACGAACCTTTAAGTCAGTAGGTGAGCACAAACTGTTTGCACTACTCAGGGACCTAATAATAAAGGGCCTAATAGTAAGAATTGTTGTTGTTGTTAGTTGCTGGAGAGTTGATTCCAACTCATGGAGACCCCACGTGTGCAGAGTTGAACTGCTTCATAGGGTTTTCAGGGCTGTGACCTTTCGGAAGCAGATCACCAGGCCTGTCTTCCAAGGCACCTCTGGGTGGGTTCGAACTGCCAACCATCTGGCTAGTAGTTGAGTGCTTAACTGTTTGTGCCACCCAGGGACTCTAATAATAAGAATAATAATAAAAAAATAGAAACCTGTTACCATCGAGTCGATTCCAAATCATAGCAACCCTATGGGACAGAGTACAGCTGCCCCGTAGTCCTTCTGAAGTCGACTATCACATCCTTCTCCCATGGAGCAGCTGGTGGGTTCGAACTGCTGACCTTTTGTTAGCAGCCAAGTGCTTGACCACTGTGCCACCAGGGCATCTCAGTAGTAAGAATAACCAGCACTTGATAAACACTACTTGTATATGAGGAACTTTTCACAAATTAGCTCATTTAGCCCTCCCAATCACTCTGTGAAACAGGTGATATTATTCTTCCATTTTGCAGATGGGGAAACTGAGGTACAGAACGATTTTGTAACTTGCCCAAGGTCACAGACTAAGTGAGTGGCAGAGCTGGGACTCAAACTCAGCCTGTGAGAATCCATGGTCTGTGCTTTCCTCATCTCCAATGTTGAAAGAGGTTTAGCATTCATAAGCCAAAAGTGAGGTTTTCCTTCCTAACTGGCCCCTCCCCCAGAAAGGGCATTTAGAAGAATGGCTCTCTGTTGGCTAACCCTTCTGCAAGGGGTACAGAAAGGTCCCAGAGCTGAATTAGACATTCTGGCCACAAGACAACACAGTAAAACGTCTGACAGTTGTGATTCCCATCCATCTATGTTTAAGAATGACCCATGGAGCTGTTAGTTCACCGCGATACTCTTCAAAAGGATAAAAAGAAATCAGAAGTTGTGCCTATGTATCGTTTCCTGGATGGCTAGTTAAGTTACTTAGACATTTGGTTGAAAAAGGAAAGTTTCTCGTAAAAGTATAAAGACCTACTCTAACGATGTACAAAAGAGTCTTCCTGAGGTCGGAGAAGTGGAGTAGACTACCCCACGCCTGCCCATAAACTCTGAGTCTCCGTCCCTGGGCTGGCTTCCCAGTCTTCCAGAGAGCTACTCCTCTGCCCTGCTAAAAAAAACCCCAAGGCTCAGGAGGGCCCCAGGGCCCACCCAGCACAGCTTGGCCACCTGGGAGGGAGGGCTTGTCCACAGAGTGTCTGGGGGAGCTGCCTGAGGACATGTGCTGAGTCGCAGAGAGGAGGGAAAGAGAGCGGAGCGAGCCAAGACGGGACGAGAGTCACAGAGAGGGGTCTTCCATGGTGGACTCTGTCTACCCCCTCATCTCAAAGACCAGTGTTCAGCCTGGGCGGTCCCCCACATAACTGGGAGCAGGGGCCAGCTGCTTCAGTTTGAGCCAGGCCTGGAGCTGAGCCAGCTGGGCTGCCCAGCCTGGGACGCCTGGCTGGGAGGCTCCTGGTGGTGCAGCTGGGCTGGTCTGCTGGTTCCAGCTGTGCTTGCTCCAAAGGTGTCTGCCCTTCCTTACGAGGGCTTTCCACACAGGCAGCTTCCCAGACTCTGCTCTGATTCTCAAGCTTTAGTCTTCCCGTGATCTGCCCCTTAGCACTGGAAATGAGGTGCCTCCTCTCACCTCCGTCCTCCTAAGAGCTTGTAGATTTTCACTGAGCTGTTTGACCCGGCGTCCCCAGTGCGTCCATCATTACCCTGGACGATGAGACCTCCGTGGTCTGGCTTTGAGGGGCTGCTCCAAACGGCCTCCTCGCTCCCTCCAGTGTAGGCAGCCGCCAGCCTCCCTGCTGGCCCGGCACAAGCTGCTCTTTGTGAAGAACGTGTACCACGGTCCAAGTGCAGAGGCCTTTCCTTTGGGCTTCTCAAAGCAAAATCTAGCAAGCAGCACTGTCTGGTCCAGTAACAAGGCTGGGTACTGTAGTCAACTTGGACAATTTTCATTCTTAGGTCTCTTAAAAAGGACCGTTTCTAGTAACATCTGATATTTTCCTGAGGGGGCCAAGCATTTGTTGTCTTTGGACCAGCGGTGCTGCTGGAATGCCAGTCCTGCCTTTGACTCTGTGGACCTGGCACACCACTCTACCCAGATGCCTCCATCGGAGGGAAACTGTTCTGGTCGTGTAATGACCACTCCTCTCCCCAAGCAATGGGATCACCTTGTAAGTGCTCTTCGTAAGAACTCGTGATGGCAGGCACATTAGTACCGAGTTCTCTGTCTCAAAGACAGCTTTCCCCAGACGCTGGGTTTTCATCTTGGATCCTGCAGGATGAATTGGCTAAAGCACTAGGGATGACAAGAGAAGCCTTCGAGTCCTGGCTTGGCCATTCCATGGCTATATGACCTTGTGACCTTGGGCTCTTTAACCTCTCTGGGTCTTGGTTTACTTTCCTGTAAAATAAAGGATCTGGACAAGGTGAGGTCAAGTTCTTTCATAGCTCCAATCCTCTGTATGGTCTCTAGAAATCTTTTTGGATAACCATCCCCAGGCTGCGGTATTTTCTGTGTTAATTTACCATGCACCAGTGAGGCAGGTCTCTACATCCAGGCCAGAAATGAAAGGAGACTGTTTCAGCGATCATTCCAAACAGAACAATTACTACCTTTTTTTAAAATTTTTTTTTTTGAGGGGGGACGGGGTCGGGAGGGGGAATTAGGAGAATTTTTAAGACGTGGAAATAAACATTATTTGTTAGCATTCTTTTGGGAAAGGTGCCTTAGCATTTGGGATTGTCTATTCCCTGCTCAAATGGAAGGAGAAAAACCTTGTCCTGCATTTGTTGTTGGGTGCCTTCTAGTCTATTTTGACTCGTAACAACCCCATGTAACAGAGCAGAACTGCCCCATAGGGTTTTCTAGGCTGCAATCTTCACAGAAGCAGATTGCCAGACCTTTTCTTCTGTGGTACCACTGGGTGGGTTTGAACCGCCAACCTTCGGTTAGCAGCCAAGCATCTAACCACTGTGCACCACCAGGGCTCCTTTGTCCTGTATTTATCCTGTTTTAATTCATAACATGCCTGTGCATTCTGGGAAGTCAACCCTGGTGGTTTCTTCAGCTTGTGGGTTCATCACTTCTTTGGCTTGTGTTTGTACCACTGGTACAAGGGCCTCCCCTGGGCTTCAGTAGGGTTACTTAGCCACTCTGGGATGGGAAGGGTTTCTAGATTTCCATAGGAGGAGACAGCAGAGAGGAGCTTCTTGTCCTATTGGAAACGTCTTCTTGCAGGGGAAGCAGAGCACTCGCTGCCAGACGGTTTCCCCACCAGTTCCCTAGTGGCTGTGTCTACCATCATGTTCCCGAATGCTGTGCACTGAGACTTTCTTGACTGGAATGCATCGGTTTTACCATCCAAGGACCAAAGGAGATGGCCTGGCACGTTTATCCTAGGGGGTGTTTCCTCCCCTGTTCAGATAGCAAACATTGTCCTCCTAGAAACCAGGCCTGATGGGAGTTAGAGCCATAATGGGAGCTGACACGATGAGACACAACAGGAACCATCACCCACGCAACCCACCCCTCCCTGCCAGGCCACCATCCAACAGCCTGACAAAGATGCATGATCCTCTCACCAGGTTTTACCTAATGAACATTTAACAGACATTTGCATCCAAATGGGGAGCTCAGAGGAAGCCTCCAGCTCTTTGCATTTCCCACTTAGATTAATCTTTCAGGAAATCCTGACAGCCAGAAGGCAATGCTGGGGTCCTGCAGACAGCACTTGATGAAGCCAACTGGTGACATTCCCTGGCTGCTTTCCTAATGCATCTGCTTCCTAAGATCCTCAGGCATGGCCAGAACTTGGGGACAGAAGGGGCAGTGGTGGAAGGAGATGGAAGGGCAGGTTAATTTCTTGGCTGTTTTGTCTTCTCCTAGTAGAATATTGAGTGAAGTCCATAAAATCCTGTAATGTTTCACTATTTTGGAATAAAACTACCCTTTCATAGCATTCCTTTTAATATGAGCTCTGATAACATCTTAATGAAAGTAGCAGTCTCCTGTCTGGAAAAAGATTCATAATAGAAATAGAAATGAGGAAGACACGGGAAGAATAAGGACAATAGACTCTGTAGGAAATGCTGATCTCAGTGACGAATATTGTGCTTTGCTGGCTCATAAAGAACTAAACTTACTTCCAAGATTAGAGTTTCTCCTCTCAGTTTCCTGGGAAGTCTGAGGCCCAAGACAGCCGAAGGGCAGGCCCAGGAGGGATCCAGAAAGGCTGAGAGGCGCTCTGCAGAGCTTCTTCCAAGCAGCAGCAGTTCTGAACACTGGCCTTCTCCATTGGTGAATGACAGAAACATTCTAGATAACCAGTCAGGTTCTTGCTACTAGTTGCAGAGTGGTGTTAACACGCAGGTAATTTCAGAAGCTTTTTTATTTCTTGTATTTGTTCAGTGTGGGGTGTGTGTGTGTGTGTGTGTGTGTGTGTGTGTGTGCGTGGAGTGCAGCCGTAGTGGCACAACAGTTAAGTGCTAACCAAAAGGCTGGTGATTTGAACCCACGAAGCACCTCTGTAGAAGAAAGACCTGGCCATCTGCTTCTGTAAAGATTACAGTCAAGAAAACCCTATGGGGCAGTTCTGCTGTCACATGGGGTCATTATGCATTGAAATCGACTCAACAGCACCCAATAACAACTTACTCCCTCCATTACTTGCTCATTTATTTATTTATGCTCTTCAAAATATTGAAAAGTAACGAAAACATTCAGCACAAGTTTTAAGACAGTTATAATTCCTCCACGAAAGTTCTCACTTGGTCTTTGAGTGCAATGTCAATTTACAGGACCATATATTCTTTCTGTGGTTACTTTAAAACATTTATTACAGAAGCAGCGTTGTTCAACGGCATGAACAGTTAGGTGTAGGGAGCCAGTGCGCATTTTCCAGGTGCCTGGGAAGCGTAGAGAAGGTGCATTGCAAACATTTCTGGGAAGCCTCACGTAGACTGTCTAAGATGTATGTTATTATTATTCCATTTTTTTCCAGAGGGAAAAAGAAAAGTTTAGAAATATGTAAGTTGCCCAAAGTTACTCAGCTAAAGGCAAACTGAGTATAATAATAATAATACCTAGCATTTCTTGAACTCTTCATATTGTCAGGCACTTTCTAGGCACTTCATATAAATGATCTCATTAAATCCTCCCAATAACCCCAAGGTGGGTTCTCCTATAATCCCGATTTTACACATGTAGCTATAGGTTAATTATCCTGTCCAAGGTCACAGAGCTGGGGCAAGAAGCAGGGCAGTTCAATTCCAGAGGCAGAGCTCCAAAGACCCTGCTGTTCCAACTACATCATCAAGCCTCTGTCCTACCTGACATTTCTCTTGGGGTCAGATGGACCAAAGCTGCAATCCAGAGCCCATGGCATGGTCACTGGCCACTTACTTACCCAGCCTGAGCCTCTGATCTCTGCCTCTAGGTGACGGGGTGGTGGAGGGTGCAAGGCGACAAAGCAGGTGCAGCCCTGGCCTGGAGCTGGCTCAGCCCCCTTCCTCATATTAATATTCTTCTCACAGGAAGACTTTTCCCATGGGAAAGAGGGGGATTGTGAGATTACTGAAAGGTGAAGATATTTTGCCCCTTCCCTCTCTCTCCACTGAGAAAGTATGTGAATATCTGTTGGCACGTGGAGCTCAGTTCAGACTGAACATAAACCTTCTTCAATATCTATACTATGGAGACAGTATTTCAATACAACTTTCTTAATGTTTCTTAAACCTTTCTTTTCTACCAGTTTTGTTCTTTTTAAATTCCCCAGGGGAGGGAAAGGAAAGAAGAAAGTAGGGAACCGGATACAGATGATGTGTGCATGTATTAGTCCCGGGGTAGTGCAAATGGTTAGCGCGCTCAGCTGCTAAAAGAAAGGTTGGAGCCCACCCAGAGGCACCTTGGAAGAAAGGCCTGGCAATCTACTTCTGGAAAAACTAGCCATTGAAAATCCTGTGGAGCACAGTTCTACTCTGGCACACTGATGTGCATGTAGAAGAGAGGAAGCGAGGGCTGGACAACGTGGCAGGGTTCAGAGAGACAGACACTGGGTCAGACAAACAGGACTGACCCTAGGGAGGTGGTCTACACAGGGATAGCATGAGGGAGTCTGGGCTCTAGTGACAAACCCTTGATGAGGTGAAGAGCTTGATTGCTAAGAGTAAGCCCACGCATGAGCCTCCAGGGAGTTCCATCACACCATCTCTCTTACCTCCTCTTCTCAGCAGCCCCCAGTTCCCAGCGCAGCCCCAAGAGCCCTGCCTGGTAGGGTCCCGTTGGCAGAAACCAGGCCAGGGCTCAGAGGTGGGGCACCAAAGCTAGGTGTGGAGAAGCCTTCTCAGGAAAAGCACATCGCTTATTCCAGTGATCGTTATTGTTTTAATTAACATGCCAATATTAAACGAAACAGTTCCTATTATTATCTTTGGGGGAAATAATTTAAAAATAGTATTACTTCAACCTTAAAAAACAATTTCTATCAGGAGGCTGACAGAAGGATCTTAAAAACATCAGGATTTTAACTTTAAGGATTTTGTCATTCAGGCATTTGATTGGATCCTAGGGAATTACCTACATTCAAGCTGTACTTGCCTTAGGCCAAATACACTAATTCCACTTCCAAATGTGCGTCTCTGGCTTGGCAGCTGTCTCCTTCCCTATTAGCACTAGCCACACTTTAATTAAACAGCCCACCTCCCCCGCCTGGGCTGGGGGCTCCCTGACCTGACTTAGTTCTCGGTGGTTACTTACGTGGGACACCTTGCTGGAGGGAACCAGCGCGGAAAAGAGTGGGGGGCGTTTTCCTGCTCAGTCTCTTTAACAAGCGATCACGCTCATTCATCCTGCAAGGAAACCAAACACGGTCAGTCTTGAGTTCATGTGCATACATCTCAAAAGTACTCGGTGAAGAACTTTAGGGTGTAAAATAAAACAGACAGACAGGGGAAGAAAGCTTCCCCACATAAAGAAAACTGTCTAGTTTCACAATCTGCCCCATTATTTACAGTAGATGCTATCTTGACACTTTGAGTGCATTACGCCCGCTGCTAAAAGGCGCTCTGTTTCCAGTCTGCCTGGACACAACGCCTCTGAACTCGGCCTTCCTCTGAATTGAAGTGTACTACAAGTGCCCTTTTCATACGGGTTGAAGCCCTCAGTTCCCCAGAACACTTGCCAGGAGTGAACTGTTTCTATGGTGAATGTTTTAAAAGCCTCAATCTCCCCTTCAGCTGGTCTTTCCCAAAGCCAATAAACCACGGGGTAAGTCCTCCGTCTCGGGACCCTGGTCAGGAGCTGTCCTTCTTTCTGCAGAACCTCACTGTTATTTTTGAACCAATGAAAATTTTGAAACCATGAAAATCAAGTGGGGTTTTCTTCTAAACCACAAGGATTGGCAGCTCTCTCTACCTCCCCTGAAATTCCTCCCTTCAAGGTTGTCGCTGGTGTGAAGAAATATGGAACTATCCTGGAGGATCTACTTGGATCAACAGTCAACACCCATGGAAGCAGCAGTCAAGAAATAAAACGACATATCGTATTGGGCAAATCTGCTGCAAAAGACCACTTTAAAGTTTTAAAAAGCAAAGATGTTAACTTTGATGACTAAGGTGTGGCTGACCCAAGCCATAGTCTTTTCAATTCCCTCATATGCATGTGAAAGCTGGACAATGAAAAAGGAAGATCGAAGAAGAATTGATGCATTTGAATTGTGATGCTAGCAAAGAATATTGAGTATATAGTGGACTGCCAGAAAAATGAACAAATCAATCTTAGAAGAAATACAACCAGAATGCTCCTTAGAAGTGAGGAGGGCAAGATTTTGATTTGCTTACTTTGGACATGTCATCAGGAAAGACCAATTTCTAGAAACGGACATCATGGTTGGTAAAGCAGAAGGTCAGCGAAAACGAGGGAAATGCTGTGGCTTGACACAATAGCCGCAACAATGGTGCAGGACTGTTATACATAGGTCACTGTCAGTTGGAGCCAACTCAATGGCAACTAACAATAACAATATACTGGAGGAAAGCAGCTGTTGCTTATGTCTATAAACCAAAAGGTGGTGCTTACAAATTGCCCACGTGGGCCCAAGTGCTTTGATTTCTCACTGTGAGGACATTACCTCGCTTGGCCAAAAAGAGGCTTCTGGTGCGGGAGTTTGCCAATGCCCTAAGCAGCACTTGCTTGAGTCTGAGGGCTTGTGAAGCCGTGTGAGCAGCTGCCCTTGCTGGCAGTCCAGAATGCCCAGTCTCTGAGCCCCCAGCCTGAGGAGGACCTCCCCCTGAGCAGAGTGTCCTTCATAGCTCCCCCAAGGGCTTTCTAAAGAGGCAGGGGGCCCTGGCTGCTTTCAAAGGCTCCATGAGCTGAAGTTCATTTTGCACTTAGGTTTTCAGAAGAGATCATTTTCTGATGGTCTAGGTTGAAATGACAATGTTTAATTCATTACCAATTAAGGGTGAGCCTCAGCAAGCTAAGCTTGGCAAAACGTCTGATGAGGAAAAATGCTCTGTCTATCCCTCCACACTGGCTTCCCCTACCCCTGCTATCTTCTTCTCCCACGAGCCAAATTAATCTCACTGGGCCCTCCTGGGCACCGGCCCCCACCGCAGTGACATGCAGATAAATGGCGCGAGGGCCTGTGGAGCTTCACCTCTCTGTGTCCCTGCCATCAGCAGACCATTAGCAGCTCTCTGTGCTGTCTGGGTTCAGGACATGGGGCGTGCTACAAAGGGCCTGTCCTCCCCAGCTCACCCTTGCCCAACAAGGGCCATGGTTCATTTGTGCACAGAAGACACTGCCAGGCCCTGTTCCAAGCTCCGTGTCCGGAGAGGGATCCTGAGGCTGCTGGGCCCAGGGACTCTTGGGGCCAGACTGCAGCGCCCCTGGGCCACCTTACCAGCCAGGACTACATGATCACACAAAGGGTGACCCAGAACTAAGGGGACAGGAGCAGGGCGAGGCTCCAGCCCCATGCCCATCCTCTGCCCTGCCATCCCTGGCATCTCCCACTGTTCAGATCTAGAAGGTCCTCCTCTCAGTGGGGGCACTTCATGAGAATGTTGCAGAGTCACAGAAGTGGGAGGGGTCTTCATGACTCACAAATCTCAGCATCTCCCTTTGCAGGTGAGGAAACAGAACCTCAGACATCTCACATAACTAGGCAAAGGTCATGCCACACTTCGCCAGCAGTGCTCTGGCCCCTGCCTTCTGTGCCAGGCAGAAGTCATCCAGTTCCCTCATGGGATGGCACTGCTTTTATTTCTCTGCTTTTTTATAACAAAATATTCCAAACATATAGAAATGGTTAAAAAAAAAAAAAAAAAAACTAGTGAAACAAACATCCACCAGCCTACTCAGCCTTACTTTTGTCCCCACGCTTTAGAAGGACCCACTGTGTCCCATAGCCCTGTTCCCCACGAGGTGACGAGTCCTTGGGCCAAGGAGACATGCCCACCTAGAGCTCGTGCCTGCAGTTATTTGGGATCCTAGAAGTCCCTGCTCAGGGACCGCACGCCTGTACCCAAGGCCAACCTGACCTCTTCCCTGGATTTGTCCTTCGGAAAGCATGAGCCAATGCACAAAGCCCTGGGCTGAGGGTGGCCCAGGGATGGCTCTTCACATGAGATGTGGACAGGGCCTGGATGAGTGCACTGAGGTGTCCTCATGTTTGCATGCAAATCCCCTCAATGTGTAGGGCACAGCTGGGGTGGAAAGGGAAGAAGAGCGCAGGGAAACTAACTCTACCTCATTCACCAAGTTATGGCTCAGACCTCCAACGACTGGGAGTCAAAAAGGGTTCCAGTCTTTATGAAGGTATATTCATCAAGGTATACAATTATTGGTTATCTGGATTTATAACTTTTTATAACTTTCAAATAGCTAGGCATAGTACATGGGTCTCTATTTGCACCAAGTATTGCAAATGTTAGGAGTGGGCCTGGTTGTAAAAATCTTAAATACAGAGTTCCCTTATACTCTTCTCTGATCCCTTTCCTCCTCCTTCTACTATAATAAAGTTAGAAATAACCTTCCTCTCCATATTTTATATTTTTGCTACCTACATGTGTATTATGTTTTAAAACAGGTGTAATTGGTGTCATGTATAGTGGTTAAGCACTCGGCTGCTAACTGAATGGTTGGCAGTTAAAACCCACCAGCTGCTCCGCAGGAGAAAAGACCTGGTGATCTGCTCCTGTAAAGATTACAGCCTAGGAAATCCTATAGTGGAAGTTCTACTCTGTCACATGGGGTGGCTATGAGTCGGAATTGACTCAATGACACACACCATAACAACATTTACCATACTTTCTCTTTGCGCCCTTTTCTCTCCTTCTGTTGAAATGACAATGTTTTCTACTTACCTACGTTTATTTTGTCTACTGGTGTAGAGAAATGCTTTATTAGTGGTTACCCTTAATTTTTTTAACATGTATATTTGACAAGGTCAGAAGTTAGAAAACCACTCCTAGAGTAGGACAAGGACTTAGAATTCCTAACTTTGAATTTCCCCATCTCATCCTTTTGTCTTCAGCAATGAAGCTGTGTCAGTGTGATTATTATTTTTTATAGGTAAGCTGTTGTATCATTTTGGTTGCTTTTGTGGTAATTGTCTTTGATGTTCTGCAGTTTCATTAAAACACTTAGTAGGACTAGGTGTAGATCTGTTTTTATACCCTGCTCAGCTGCTCAGATCTGGAAAGTGCAATAATCAAGGGTTCATTTTTCTTCACTTAGGGGAAACTCTCTTTGAGTTTTCCTCTCTTCCACTCTCTCTTTTTGTTTGTCCTGGAGCTTCTATTAAATATATATATATCATTCCAGCTCATTCCTAAACCTCTTTTACATTTTACATTTCCTCATCTCACTCTGGCTTTATCTAAATGATTTTTAAACTATGCAATAAAATTTTAAATTAAATCACTACATTTTTCATGTGCATACATTCTATTTTTCTTCAAAATCCATCTGTTCTTTTTACATACTACCATACTTTTGCTTTTGGATTTCTTTAATTTCTTTCATCCTTATTTTATAGACTCTTTCAGACTATCCTTGCATCTCCAGTTCCTGGGGAGCTGATTTTCCTGTTTATGGTACCTGATGACTCTCCCTCATTGTGGTCATTTCTTGGGTGCCCAGTTATGGAACCATTCTTCAAAGTGATTTTTCTTTTGCCTTTTCCAGGGCCCTAGGGGTTACACCAGTTTCACATCAATTTTTCTATTGATATCTTAGCCTGGGGTTCCTGCAGCACTGAAAATACTCTGATATCCCTATACACCTATCTTGGCTTCACTCCCTCTTTCCCAGCTGGCTTTGATTTCTCTCCATTTCTAGCACCTGTGGATTTCCTTGTCTTTCTTTTGAGCTTGATTATGCATTCAAAACCTTCTTCGTTCGTATTTTACCTGACATCTCTATGTGTTTGGAAAGGTCGTCTCTGAGTCAGCCCTGTCTACCACATTGGCTCTACCTGGTTCCCATGAATACTCTGTATTTCCCTGACCCAACTACTCAAAAGCACTATGGTTACAGAACAAGATCACAGAATTACTCTTCCCCCAAATTTTGCTATACTTAGGAAAAATCTTTAATGGAGACTTTTAAAATAGTAATGGATTGAACAAAGCTTTAGGTTATGAAAAGGATACCAGAGTTGATGAAATCACTCTACTGGAGGTGTCTGAGGCACTGACTTCTCCTCCATGGTTTCTAATGTTGCCACCTCAAGGAACATTATTTTCCCAATTTTCCTTTCTTCTTTTGATATCTTTGAATTATGGTGCTGGCAAAGAATACTGAATATACCATGGACTACCAGAAGAATGAACAAATCTGTCTT